CATAGTAAACAATAGCTGAAATTTACGTCATTCTGAGAGTTTGAAAGGGAGACAGTCCTATATCTGCAAAAAAACCGAAATAATCATAATTAAATAAATAAATAATTAATTAAAATATAACGCAATAATATTTTTAAAAATAAACGTAAATAATTTAAATAATATAATTTTATATTATTACTGTATCCGCAAAAAATGTTTCGACGTATGATCCCGTTTTCCAATTTTACAACCACAAAAATTAATAGAAAATAATTAGTACAAATAAAATTTTTCAAATAATCAAATATAAAAAAATATATATTAAAAAATTACCTTATAATGAAAGATCGAACAAACTTTTGAACCAAAGATAAGAGGATTGTTAGGTGATGTTTACGGGTTGAGAGGATTGTTGTGTGATGTTTACGAGTTGATAGGATTACTGTGTGATGTTTACAGGTCGAGAGTGTATTATTTATAGCCAAGGGAAAAGTTTAAAAGCCGAGAAATTTGGATACAATTATGAAAAGCGCAACCCATGCACCGCGCCTTACGCTGATGTAGTTCCAGCTGGCGTAAGGCGCGGTGCATGGGTTGTGCCTTTCAACACGTGGCGCCACATCTCCATCCACTTTGCCACAACATCTCCATTTTCTACCATATTACCATCGTTTCATTTCCACAACATCCATTTAATCTTGCCACAACATTCTCATTTGTAAATAACATCACTAACTATACTTAGGTGAAATAGTAAATTGATGTGATTAAGATTATAAATTTCCTCAAATCCCTGTGGATACAATACTCACTCATCACTGTATTGCTTGTTCGATTGTGTATACTTGCACATATTTTCGTGATCATATATGGTAGTCACAATTCGCGGACAACAATTAAAAAAATTGGCTGAAGCTTAAGAGGAACAATTAAACAAATGAACACAAGAATTTAGAGTGATTCAATTTTATCAACCAAAGTCTACATCAACTACCTTAGCTATCGACACTAAGAATTTCCACATATTCACTAATTTGTATCTTTCTTTGAGGATAAGGTGTAACCTTACACCTCCCTCAACAATTATACCCCAAATTCTTGAGACACTCTCTTAGAAAGAGAAAATTACAGATTGTAAACTTATAAAAACCTCACAAGGAATGTGTTTGCTCAATTCAAGAACAAATATGAACACTTGAGAAATGAATACAAATGAGTTCAAGAAGTGTTCTTTGAAAGCAAAATGAATATTGAATAATGTTGACTTGATTTGGCTCAAATTTGTTGTTTATGACTTTCTCATTTGTCTCTTATCTTCACAAATGACTTGAGATATTGTTTATATACTCCCTCAATCAATTCCATCCATTTGAGTTGTTATGGGAGTGAATAGAGCCGTTGGGGTAGTTTCCCTCATTAAATGTTGCTTAGAGGCTTGTAGTATCAGTACTTCGTCTATCAGTATTGATACTCCTTACATTAAATACAAAAAAAAATTGATCGTTGGGAAACTTCGGTATCAATACTGCAACAAGGGTGTTGGTACTACTATATTCAGTAGTATCGATACTATACATAGTATCTGTACCATTTTAGTATACTGGAATTTCACGAACTCAAAACCAAAAGGAGTAGTATCAGTATCATAACTAAGAGTATCAGTACTACTACACTAACTAGTATCGGTACCATATATGGTATCGATACCATTTTAGCATTCTATTTTGACATTATCGGTACTGCCTCAGTAGTATCGATACTACTTCATTGTTTTTGGGTTTCAGTATCGATACTTCGTGAACGGTATCGGTATTGTTCTAGTAGTATTGATACTACTATGCTTAAAAATCATTTTTGACTCGATTAAAGTTTGAAACCCACAGTAAAAATTATTTCAAAAATATTTCTAATATAGGACTCAAATTTTCAGTTGAGTGAAGAGTAAAAATTGATGTTTTAACTTTAAAAAATAATTTTATATATTCGAATGATTGAATCGAATATAATCTTAAACTTTGTAAAAACTAATTAACAATTTTGTTTGGTATATCAAAATATCAAAGTGTTTTCAACAGATCATGTGACGTGTGTCACGTCACTAAAATGATGATGTAACACATGTCATGTCTATAATTAATTGAACACATAAGAAAATATCATGTCACCCAAAATGATTATATGACATGTGTTACGTCAACGAAATGATGACACGTGCCATATCACTAAAATGAGGACCTGACACGTGCCACATTAATAATTAAACACATGTAAAAATACTATATCACTAAAAATGATGTTGGACATATGTCACATCATCAAAAAGATGACATGACACATGTCACATCAATAATTGAACATATATAAATATTTCACTTCAGCAATTTGTGTTGGTCGTTAATTAATTAATAGTTTCTATTTAATAAGGGTTGTTTTGGAAAAAAATGAAACGTTTAGAGGTAAAATCTAAAATGTTAAAAAAATAGGAGCAAAATAATCATTTGTGCATAATTGGGAGTAATTGTGTTATTATGCCTAAAAATAAATTATTTTCTTTATTTTATCTCTTTAATCAAAACTATCAAATAATGTTGGTCAAAATCATTTCCTTTTTCTTTCTTTGTAATTTTAACTAATCAAATAAAAATTGTTTCTTTCATTAATTTTCTTTTCTTTTATAATTATTTATCTAAACATAGTATTAATTATTTGGATGTTGTTGCAACGCTCGACGATCACATATAAGCACCTTTAATGATGAGCTAAATTAATTTATAAAACGTTAAATTATGAAGTACTAAAAGTATAATTATAAATTAATTAAAAATCTAAATAAAATTTAACTAAAATACAATATTTACAGAAACATTAGTTTTTAGGGTAAACTATATCATTGACCACTTAACTATTTACCGTTTTTTACTTTAACTACCGATTTTTAAATTTTGTCAGTAGGATTACCTAACTACTTAAATCTTGTCAATCAAGCCACTTATTGTTAAATATTAACGGAGGAGATGATGTGGCAGTTAAGAAAATTTGTATAATTACACATTTAATCCTCGTTACTTACACATTCTATTAATTTTTTATAACTTTTATTTAATTCAATAAATTTAATCCTCATTGTGACACGTGTCATTGAGTGATTATATTTTTTAATTTTTTATTTAATAAATTTTCTATTCGATCAAATTGTGCCATATGTCACCAATTGAATTAATGAAAAATAAATTAAATAAATAACCATTGTTGGTGGGATTTAAACTTAGGACACAAGCCGAAAATCTGAGCACCCTAACCACTAAGCTAGACCACTGAATTTGTATAGTATACAGAACATAATCTATATAATTTATAATATAGTTAATGGTAATAAATGACCTTATAAGGACTCAAACATGAAATAATTGAATAGTATGAAAATATAAAATATACATAAATAAATATTATAATTGATTAATAAATGAAAATGTTTTATTTATATTTTAAATCACGTTTAATGCAAAAATTTAAATAAAGTGAATTTAATATGTTATAATTGAAATGTATCATTTTACATATTTTAAATTAATAAATTGTCTTCATTATTCTAATTTTATTGAACTAAAATATATCATATCTTATATTTTAAAATATTATAACGTCGATCGGATTCTAATCTTATTTAATAACTCTATATTAAAATAGAATATTTCAATAAAATCAAGTTTCCCAAAAACAATTCTTCAAATATATAATGAATAAATAATAAAATATAAAATTCTTACTCTAACCGGGATATAAACAAGTCAATGCCTAAGTTAAAATGCTTACTACGATAAACCCTCAACTAATAGGAAAATTCTAAGTAAACGAAGCTCTTTTCTATATTTCAAGTATATATAATATATTAAAATTATTTTTGTTTTTACTTTTCATTAAAATGATTTAAATATAAATAAAATACATTCACATATTAATCAGTTATAATATGCGTGTATATATATATATATATCATATTATCGTATTATTCAATCATTCCATGTTGGAGTTCTTATTAGGTTATTTACCTTTTTTATTGCCATTAACTATATATATTATGTCGTTATAGGTTTGCCATTTGAATGGTGCAGCCCAGTGAATGGGGTATTTGCTTTCTCTCCTCAAATCTTAAGTTCAAACCACACCAACAGTGGTTATTGATTCAATCTATTTTATTATTTGATTGGATTGAAAATTTATTAAATTAAATAAAAATATTAAGAAAAAAAATCCAATCACATAGTGACGTATGTCACCATCTGTTTGAAGATTAAATTTATTGAATTAATTAAAAACTAGGACCAAATAATAGAATGTGTAAGTAATGATGACTAAATGTGTAATTATACAAATTTTATTAACTGGCATGTTATCTCCTTTGTTAATATTTAACGACAGGTGCTTTATTGATAAGATTTAAATAGTTAGGTGACCCAATTGACAAAATTGAAAAATTAGTGGTTAAAGTAAAAGGGGTAAATAGTTAGGTGGCCAATGTTATAGTTTACCCTAATAACTAATGTTTTATAAATATTGTATTTTAATTAAATTACATATAGATTTTTACTTAATTTATATTAATACATTTAGTACTTTATAATTTAACGTTTTATAAATTAATTTAGTGGTGCTCATTATTAACGGTACTCGTCCACGCTCGACGAACGTTATAGAAATTTTCTAATCATTTTATGTATTATCTCATTTTTTATTCGTTTTTTTTTCTTCTCACTTTCCTTGGCCTGACCGTTTACCTCTTTATTTTCTAAAAATTTAACGGTTTAGATTAATATTACTATAGCTACCATCCAATGGCTGAAGTTCTCTTGGTTTTATTTTAGACTTAGGTTAGTGGCTTTATTTTAGAAATATTTAATTTTTTTAGTATTTTTTGTTTTACAGTTATATCTGCTTTTCTTTATTTATTTTGATGTTACTTGGACGTATGCTATAAAAATAGTCATGATCTAAACATGAGGAGAAGCATTTAATTCAGCAAAGCAGTTTCGTAAACGGAGGAAGATGGAAGTGGTGGAACGAGTGCAAGCCATGGTTTCATCATCTCGAACCAAAGACAACATACCCATAGAGTTTATTCGACCGGAAGATGAACAGCCTGCGATCACAACGTTCCACGGACCGATCCCCGATATCCCCATCATCGATTTCGGTGACCCAAACCATGAAAACATCATCCGTTCAATGGCCGACGCTAGCCGAGAGTGGGGAATATTTCAGGTTAGGGATGGATTAAAGGGACGAATGGAGGCAATAATCCCTTACAAAATTTAAATTAATATATTTTATTTATTTTTCGATTAATAATTTTTTTTCGTTTCTTAAAATTATATAAATTGACCCCTCGTAAAATTTTAGAAATTCATTCACTAACATAAAATTTGGTATCCGTCCTATTTCAGGTGGTGAACCACGGGATACCCTTGGATCTTATTCAAAGATTGCAACTAGTTGGCAGGGAGTTCTTCGATCTACCGCAGGAAAAGAAAGAGGTGTACGCTAAACCACCTGGTGCACCTTCCATTGAAGGGTATGGAAGCAAGGTGGGAAGAGATGTTAATGGAAAGAAGAACTGGGCTGATCACCTGTTCCACCGGATATGGCCTCCTACGTCTATTAACTACCATTTCTGGCCCAAAACTCCTCCTTCTTACTGGTGAATATATTAAACCCTTCGTTTACGAAAAGTTAATTGCATCACATTTTTCTTAGATTATGATTTTTATTTTAAATTAGTTCTTAAATTTTTAAATATTTTAATTTCTTCCTTAACCTATAGCAATTATTTTAAATTAGTTTTAAAACTTTTGAACATTTTGATTCTATCCCAAATAAAGACATTCGTTCTAAATCAATTTCATCCTAAACTATACATATATATATACTGATCACATCCATTGTTAATAAATTCGTTAGGTGAAGATATATTATTATATGTTTTAAAAATAAAATTTAGGTCAAACGATAATAGAAAATAATTGCATATTTGAACGAAATTTAGATGAAATTGGAAGATTCAAAAATTTGGGGACTAATTTAAAATTAGAGTCATAATTTAGGGATAAAAATGGAATATTAAAAAATTTAAGGACAAATTTAAAATGAGTTATAATTTGGAGACATGTGATACAATTAGCTCAGTTATGCATAGTTTCCTATTGATTTGAATTTGGATTATATTTAATCCATTGAGTGGTCAAGAGTGTTGTTTTCCCTTGAGTTTATATGTTTGAGCATCTGCGTTTATAGGGGTATGCGTTGTCAGTGATTAAAAAATTATGAACAGATAATATCCTATAATCACCCAGACTTTTATTTATTTATTTATTATTTTTTTTATTATGTTGATTTGGTTGCAGTAAGGTGAACGAGGAGTATGCGCAAGAGGTGAGGAAGGTAGTGGATACGCTATTCAGATGGCTGTCAATGGGGCTAGAGCTTGAAGCAGATGTGCTGAAACAGGGAGCAGGAGGAGAGGAGATTGAGTATATGATGAAGATAAACTATTATCCGCCATGTCCACGCCCTGATCTTACACTTGGGGTGCCTTCCCACACTGATCTCTCCGCCATCACTGTTTTGGTGCCCAATGAGGTCCCTGGATTGCAAGTCTTCAAAGATGGCCTTTGGATCAACACCAAATACATCCCCGGCTCCCTCATTATTCATATTGGCGACCAGATTGAGGTCATATCAATCCCTTTTACTTCATTTATTCATTATTAGCGTAAAGTACACAAATGGTCTCCTGACTATAGAATACTACTTTGTTGAGTCATCTGGCTATTAAAAGTTACAAAATAGTTCTTCGATTATAGGGAGTTGTTTTGTTGAGTCTCTCGACTATTGAAAGTTACAAAATGGTCACTTGACTATTCATTATGTTTCAATCTCGTTCTTTTCTGTTAAAAAAATAACGGTAGTCTGAGGTGGACGTTAACATGCTGACTGAGATATGCTATTCGTTTGAGATTATAAAATTATATTTTATCATATCTCAGTCAGCAGGTTAACATCCAACTCAGATTGTCGTTAATATTTTAACGGAAAAGAACGAGTTTGTAACATATATAATGAATAGTCGAGTGATCATTTTGTAACTTTCAATAGTCGAGAGACTCAACAAAGCAACTCTCTATAGTTGGACGACCACTTTATAACTTTTAATAGTCGAGTGACTCAACAAAGCAACACTCTTGGAGGGACCACTTTATAACTTTTAATAGTTAAGGGACTCAACAAAATAGTATCCTATAGTTAGAGGACCATTTGTGTACTTTACCCTTATCATTATTACCAAAAATTAAATCTCTCGTAAATTATTTTTTCGGTTAATGATTTTGGAAACTTGCCCATACCATTGATTTATTTAATTTTACCCTACTATAATGTTTTGGATAAAGTCATTTAACTACACTCACATAATTGTTTTGGTTACTAAATTTTTAAAAAAATATAACATGGTCATTGAAATATTTAAACTAATACAAAATAGTGATTGAATTTTATTAAATTATTATAAAGTGGTCATAAAATTTATAAAATTGTTATAAAATGGTCATTAAATTTTATCAAATTGTTATAAAAATAGTCTTCAAAATTTTTCACTTACTATAACGTCACAATGCCTTTTTGTAATAGTTAGATAAATTTAATAATCATTTTATAATTTTTAAAAGGCCAATAGCTAAAATAATCATTTGAGTATAGTTTAATGACGTTTGATTTACTTTACCCAAATTTCATTATATTTTTTAGATTACAATAATTTATGTTATGTTTTTTTAAACAAGATAAAGCAATATTTAATACTTGAATTTCATAAACTTTTAAATTTTAATTTAATTTCTTTTGACGTGATAATTTATGTTATGCATTTTTAAATGAGATAAAACAATATTTAATACTTGAATTTGATAATTTTTAAAATTTAATTTAATTTCTTATGTCGTGATAATATATAAATGTGCTATACAATATAGGGTAAAGTACATAAATAGTCACTCGACTATGGGCCTTGCTTTGTTGAATCTACTGATTATTAAAAATTATAAAATGATCTCCCAACTATATGGTGTTGCTTTATTGAATCACTCGACTATTAAAATTTACAAAATGATCACATGACTATTCATATATTCTCAATTGGTCATTTTCCGTTAAAAATTTAATGATAGTCTGAGTTGAACGTTAACCTGCTGACCGAGATGATAATTTTGATCCCGGAATCTCAAACGATGATCATATCTAAGTCAGCATGTTAACGTCCAGTTTAGATGATCATTTTTAACGAAAAATGACAAGTTTAGACTATATGAATAGTTGAGTGACCATTTTACTACTTTTGATAGTCAAGGGATTCAACAAAGCGATGCCCTATAGTTTGAGGATCATTTTGTAACTTCTAATACTCAGAGAACTCAACAAAACATCACCCTATAGCCAGGAAACCACTTAATTACTTTACCCTATAATATAATCGTAAAGTACATAAATTTTTAAAACACATTTTAACTTGCAAGTTTCAATTTATAAAATAAATAAAAACTACTTCACAATAATCTTCAAATAGTTTATTTTGTAAAATTAAAAAAAAATTATACTATTTATCCCTTCAAAATTTTCTTATAATAAATGAACAATATATGTTGTTAACGAAGTTAGCAATATAATAAATGCAGATACTAAGCAATGGGAAGTACAAGGCAGTGCTGCACCGGACGACAGTAGACAAGGAGAGAACGAGGATGTCATGGCCGGTCTTCTTGGAGCCACCGGCGGAATTTGTGGTTGGTCCACTTCCTCAGCTTGTTGATCCCCAAAATCCTCCTAAATATAAGCCTATGAAATTCAAAGACTATAGTTATTGCAAACTAACAAGCTCCCCCAAGTAAATGAACTCTAATAACTATAATATATATAGGGTAAACTATACCTTTCGTACCTCAACTATCACTTTTGTTCCATTCTGATCACCCAATTATTGTTTTTTTTCAAAATCGTACATAATGTTACGTTTTGGTTTCATTCTGGTCATTTGCCATTAAAAAATTAACAAAATTACTGATGTGAAAAGTTTTTTTAATTTTTCACTGATGATGTGACATTACCTTATAGGGGCATGTTAGCATCATTGTTAATTTTTTAACGGTGAGTGGTCAAAATGAAACCAAAACGTACTGTTAGGTATGATTTTGAAACAACAACAAAAATGGATGATTAAAACGAAACAAAAGTGATAATTAAGGTATTAGATCGTGTAATTTATCCATATATATATAATACAAATAAACTGCATGCGCTATCATTTCACTGTTTTGGGGATTTTCTTGTTCATTGTTTGGCTATTTGATCAAACTGACACGCCTTTAATGAATATTTACCTTTTTGGCACCGTTTAATATATATTTCCCGAAGTGACACCCTTTCGGTTGAGCTGGCGAAAGGCGCGTCCCCGGGGACGCGCTTTACCTGTGTTTTCGCTGAGTTGGATGCCACGTGTGGAAGGCGCATCCCCGGGGACGCGTCTTTCGCCAGCTCGACTGCCACGCATTTTGTTTAATAATAAATATTTTAATTTTATTATTATTATAAATTAATAATATATTATGTAAAGTGTTTCGATTATAATGTAAGAATTATCAAATGTATTTTGTTAATGTGTGTTAAAGGTGGAATGAATTATCTACATTAATATGATATAACAATATATGAAAACCAGTTTTGACTTTATTATAGTTATAGGAAAAATGTATGAAATTATAATATTACACATATGGTTATATTATTATTTTTGATTTTGATTATCGATCTATTAATTTTATTAGTTAATTATTTAAATGTTATCAATCTAGTCATCTCTTATCAATATTTAACGAAAATATTGATGCATAAGTTAATAAATTAGTATAATTACATATTTAATCTTCAAGACTTACATATTTTATGAAATTAGTCTTATTGAAAATTTAATTTAATAAATTTAATCCTCCAATCAGAACATCAAATGTGTCATCGTATACATAAATTTTTTAATAACTTTTAATTTGTTTAATTTAATATTTTTCTCTACTTAGAAGGTGGAATTATTATTTTAATGTTAAGTTGAAATTTAATGTTAAATTTCGAATACTATAATTTATATTTTAATTTTAAATTTCGAATAATATTATTTTTATTTTTATTTTAAATTTCGAATAATATAATTTGTATTTTAAAAACATTTATCAAACATTTAATGTTAAATGTGAATAAAAAATAACATTAAAAATATGTATGTAACAACCATGAAACATTTAAATAACATAACCAAATTACATAAAATTCTGAAATATAACTATTTAAATAACATTAAAATACAACTGGATCACCGATGTCGTCTTCTCGAATGAGTTCCACATGGCGATGGTTGTCTATTTCGTGGAGGATTTCTTCGTGGAACTTGTTCTTCAGTCTCCTCATCTTCACTATCATCATCAGCAGCATTTTCTTCATTTGGTGTAGATGACGCTAAAGGGGCTGAAGGGCCTGTATAAAATAACGACCCTGGAGGAGTGCTAGTAACTATCCCACCGTTCCCCAGGAACTATGAAAACTGTGGAAACATTGGCATCGATGTCTGTGATCCAGATGGAGATTGAGGTGTCTGCGGAGAAGCACCACCAGCCAAATAAAATGCATATGAACCATATGCTGGATCATTAAACATAGTCGTATATGCACCTCCATATGGTATAAAACCCTACGGGCTAGGCATGTAACCTGGCGGGCTAGGAATGTAACCCTGCGGGCTAGGAATGTAACCCTGCGGGCTAGGAATGTAACCCTGCAGGCTCGGAATGTAACCTTGCGGGCTCAGAATGTAACCCTGCAGAGATGGCATATAAACTGGTGGGCTTGGCATATGAAGTGGAGGGCTGGGCATGTACCCCTGCGGCATCGACGGATAAGGATGTTGTGGTGGGACTGATGCAGAACCGGTAGCGCCTTCTCTCCGTCCACGCGTCGGAGGACGATGATATTGAGACGGTTCGCGTCTTTCTCGGCGCCTAGGAATGTTAACCCCTCGTGGTTCCACCGAAAGTAGAAACGGCTTCCCATTTTCATTAAACCAGTCCATATAGTTATCCGTAACCATATGACCAGTTTCAGCGTAATATTGTCGAGGGGCCAACAGTGTATATCGGTTCTCCCAAAGCGCAATCCAATCTCTGTGTCTCACCACCCAGTTAACATCTTTCTTTCCTCGTCTATCTATGTTATGCACGTCGTCTAAATTCCTAGGTGCTCCAGGAATATATTGCGTACAACCATACTGACGGAGCACGCGATCAACTGGATGCCACTCAATAATAGCATAACATATAAGAGGTATAACCGATATCCATACCTCTAATGACCCACTAAGGTGGGGTGGGATGCAAGCTTTCACTTCATCACTCGCATAAGGTATCCACTGAAACTGAAATATAAATATACAATTCAAATAAATAAAATATTCTAATTATATCTAGCATTTTAAATTAAAATATTAATAATTAAACAAATTTAAAAATATACCTCATACCCAGCTTTCGTATCAAATAAGTAAACGAATTTCCTCTAACCCAGTAGGTATACTTTTATGGTCCTTTCTTTTCATCGACCACCTATGAAATATAATATAAACTAAATATCACCCTATTTAATTGAAAATATTTAAATCAAAATTTAGTTCGAAAATTACCTCAACAATAAGGGGAATACGTATGGTTCATTCACGATCGGGCATAAGAAAGGCATGCGGAACCACGCGCATGATTGTAGAAGCAGAAGACATCCACCGATAGCAGTTTTCTTATAATTCGTTGCCCGACACATTTCTCTAAAGAGAAATGCCAAAACTGCAGCGCCCCAACTATATCTTCCAGCTTCATCAAAATCGATCAGATGCCGCAACCACATACAATGCACCTGGTTGCGAGATTTGTCGGGCATCAATATTCCTCCAATTATTCGTAGAATATATGCCCGAGCACATGCCTTTGCTTGATCCTCTGAAGCATTTTCATTTAAAACCTCAAAATTAGCTTTCAACCAAGATAAAGCTATTCTACCTCCATTAAACTCTGGCGGAGCAGCTCCAAGATAATCAATGCACATTGATTGCCAATCACCATCCGCCATACCACACATCATATTTCCGTCGACGGGAAGCCCCAGATGCATAGAGACATCCTCCAATGTAATTGTGGCCTCTCCACATGGAAGGTGAAAAGTGTGTGTCTCGGGCCTCCACCTCTCAATCAGTGCAGAAATTAGGACAGGTTCGAGTTTGCAACTGCCAATAATTGTTGCAATATACCCGAACCCGGCAGAAGCCAAATATGACAAAATACGTTTCGGTGTCGGTATACGTGGATTTTTAATAAAAGTCTCTAAAATACGATCAGTATCCTAAATAATATACATTATAAAAAATAAAAAATTTAATATAAATTCATAATAACTTTAAAATAAAAATAAAATTAAATATTAACATTAATTATAAAAATATTACCATATCGCTAAAATGTCTGGAGATATGATCAATATCCAATCGCAACAGCATTTCGTTTTTCATTATAACTGTAGACAAAACAATATAATTAGCACAAAAAAATTAATAATTCTAAATAAATAATAATTATATAAATATTATTTTAATAAAAAATAATATTTACATAAATATATTAATATAAAATATAATAACTATTTAAAAAAATACTAACATAAAAATAAATTTCTTACCACTAATAACAAATTTAAAACACAAATAGTTGGAGAATTTGAGTTATATAAGAGAGGAGAATATGATTTTGGTGTGAAGAATGAGGGAGGGTTGAGGGGGTTTATATAGGGGAGGAGAGAGGTAGTTAGGGAAAATGGATGGGGGCATTTATGTCATTTAATGGAAGGCGCGTCCCTGGGGATGCGTGTCCCTGGGGATGCGCTTTCCACACGTGGCAGTCGAGCTGGCGAAAGGCGCGTCCCCGTGGATGCGCTTTCCACACGTGGCAGTCTAGCTGGCGAAAAGGCGTGTCCCCGGGGATGCGCCTTCCACACGTGGCATCCAACTCAGCGAAAACACGGGTAAAGCGCGTCCCCGGGGACGCGCCTTTCGTCAGCTCAGCCGAAAGGGTGCCACTTCAGAAAATATATATTAAACGATGCCAAAAAGGTAAATATTCGTTAAAAGCATGTCAATTTGGTCAAATAACCTCATTGTTTGCCTTCGGGTTTTGCTTTGAGCATTTATACGTACTGCTTCATCTTGTTGTATTAATTGCCTCTTGAATGAAGTAAATGTTTTTTCGAGTTTAAAAAAATATTATGTTGTATGCCGCTAGGCCCACTAGTGAAAAAGATAAAGAAAAGAAAAAACACTGTTTTCATAGAGCATTGAAATGTTTCTACTTCAGCAATGTAACTATTCTCATGCAATTAAAGGTTTCACTTCAGTAAAGCTAACAAGAAAAGATGTTTATGCTTTAAGATTCATTTATTGGCTGAGTGGTCAAGAGAACTCTCACTTGTATGAGTTTGAATTTTATAATTCATTTCGAAAATGTAATAACTCTCTCTTAATTAAAAAATAAAAAAAAGTTATTTCTGCACTAATTTGACCTATTTAAAATATTTTAAATTTAAATCAAGTAAATATATTTAATTTTACTCGAATATTATAAATTTGTTTGGCTTTTAAAACTTTTAATGAAGTTTGAATAATAATATAGGGTAAACTACAAAAATAGTCACTAATGTTTGAGTAAGTTTTTGTTTTTCTTATTGAAATTTCAAAAGTTACAAATTGGTCACTAACGTTATCGTTTTGTGACAATCGACGTTAACAACCATTAACATGGATGACAGAAATCTGGACCGTTAACTGCTTATGTGACTTGTTGACTAGTAAACTCTTCAACTTAAAGCCACTGAAAAATCGTTTCATTCTCCATATTATAAAAAGAGGACTTCAGAACCTTTGGCTACTTGAATGATTCGCATCTTCAAATGCATCTGAAAACTGTTTTGCGGCAAAGAAGGTGAAAGGCAGGCTGGGTCATTCTGAAAGCGATGTGGCAAACATTGTCGAACGCGAATCTTTAAAGAACATCATGCAAGTCGAGCATGGTTTCCTATAGCAACGCCAAAGAGCATGGGAATCAAACAGTCGTGAAGCTCAATATCTTCAACGTCTGTAATTATATTAATAATATGTTAGGAGGAAAAGGATAAAAAAAATCTCAAATAGTTAAGTCAGAAATAAACAAATTTCAGTTTTGTGGGGGAAGTGAAGAAGTAATTAGAAGAGGGGTGGGTATTTGAAACAGGAACTAGGAATGGTTGGATTCAAGTTCATTAGGGTACAAAAGCTCCGATTCCAAAGCTTATCCATGCAATTATAAACGTCGGTCAATGTCACCACCCTGTTTCGATTCCTTTGTCTTTATCAAAAACCATTTCAACTGATTACTCAATTGTCAAATGCTTTTGTAGCGTTGATCCTCCTTTTTTTTCACCTCAAAATCTTCATCAATCAGCAACCAATCCACCCTTTTAAAAGTTGGAACCAGGAACATCATCTCCATTACCCCATTATTCATCCATTACCAACTTTCCCGGCTAAACCAAACAACCAACCATGGAAGCGACATCGTTTCTTTTTTTCTTCTTCCTTCACCCTCTCTTCCCTTCCTTCACCTCTTTTGCCTCAACATCTCTACGACAAGGGTCTGTTCTCAGTTCCTGTATATCCGCAGACATGTCAAATAGCTGCTGTCCACAAAAGTCGAGCTTCTGGTACGGATGCCCTAAGAAACTAGTCTCTGTCTCTTTTTCTTTGTGTTTTGGCGACTACAATTGAGTATTGTTGTATGTTTCTGTATGTGAAACACCAAGGCAACTCTTAGAGGAAAAGTGCAGGTGACAGAAGTTCCAACTTTTGTTTTGGTGAGAGTAGAACACGAGCTTAATCAAGCTGGGCATCAATATTTGAATGTTAGGTAATTTTACTTCTGTTTAACTTCTGCGTCGGAAAGCATTGGAATCAAAATCCACATCAAGGTTGAAGATTTTTTTTTGCGGAGAAAATCAAAGAAAACGTTAATGAAGAAATAACCTTTGGGATAGTTGTTGGGTCTTGATAACATGCTGGATGTTGTCGGGGTTGGCAGTTAAGATCCGACGGTAACCGAAAACGAGGTGGAGAGAGTAAGTTGTAGAGGGGCAGTTTTGGAGGATTTGCGTCATCCATTGGACGCAGTTACTTTGATTGATATGACGGCGAAAAGGGAACCAATTATCAGGTAATGCTAGTGACCAACATGAATAAAATGAAAGTTTGGTGACCAAAGTTTAAATGTGGGAACCATTTAGTGACTAAAATGGTAATTTTACCAAAATGAATTTTATCCTGTAAATGAATAGTTTACCCTAGAGAATTTGGCTTTAGTGTTACGCTGATCTTTGGTATGAAAATTATGAAAAAATTATAAAGTGTTATAATTTTGGGAAAAATTCTGGTAATCGGATTGAATCGAAAATTTTGGAAATTCTTGCTAGATAATATAGCAAGAGAAAAAAATGTCATTTCTCATGTTTTATAATGTTATGGTTTAATGTGGACCATTGAATTTAAGTTAAATTACAGATTAAATCTTAGGCATTGGAGTAAAAAGGATGAAATTAAATATTAAGGATTTTTACAAGGGTAAAGCTGTAAACTATTAACTCCATGGTTTAATTTCAACCTTTGAATGAAGAAATTGACAAATGTCATAATTGGAAGCAATTGATATTTAAGGGTAAATGTAACACCCATTTTCCATATACGTTACCGAATACGAGTCCAATATGCTACATGATACTTTTAAAATTTCCTTATTCGAAAACCGATAAAATTTTATTTCTTTAAAAATCATTAAATTAAACAATAAAAATCAAAACTACTTAATCGTGTAAAATCAAAATATATTATTTGAACGGCCATATCAAGTTCATTTTCAGGCAAGAACATGGCAGTTTAATATTGTTTCATACAAAGAGTGAAAATGCCTATAATAAAATTCATTTTGATAGTAAATAAAATAAAATTTACTAAAATACTATCTAGTAAACTATTTTTATAAATGGTAACTATAACAAGTTTTATCTATTTTAAAACTAGTTTCAAACATATTCATATCATATTTTACTTACTAAAATCCTCATATATAACTTTTACATATCATTTAATATCATAGGCATATCAGAACACCACGACATATAAAAATATATGTCAACTAGAAATAAAAATAATAATAGGATATCATTACTAATAATGGTAGATATTCCTTGATAACTGATGTCAATTTAAACTCCTTATTCCACTCGATTTCCTTTACCTACGCGTGAAAATAATCATACGTTAAGTATATACTTAGTGAGACATTATAATGTTAATAATAAGAAATATGTTTAATAAGATATAGAACATGTATCATAATAAGAAAACATTTTATAAAAATGTTTAATAAAATAAATCTAACTGATCAAAGTCATCTTCATATAAAAGCTCACTTGTAAGTTAACAGTTCACATATAAGACATTCAACGCCAAATCAAAGTTCTCGATGAAAACTTATCTTTCAATTGAATCTCTCAAACATGCATGTTTCCTTTCATTTCAAATCACAACCCAATTGTATAATGAATGAAAATGCATGGTACGTGAGTCACATACGAGTGTGCGTAAATATTCAATCGAAACTGCCACGTAGATATTATTCACTTAAAGTGCAACATAGAATATACAGGTATTCTAGAACACAACATCACTGTAACACCCATAACCTGTATAATTATACCTATACAGATTATAGATGTCACCCGAATTTTCTAACACCATTTCAAATTCGAAAGCGATTTAAAATTTATTTTCTTTAAATTGTAAATGATATTATAAAAATTTCATATCATATAAATCATGTTTCGTTGTAACCAATTTAATTCAAAAGATTTTTTTGTGAATAGTGAACAGTACCCGTGAACAATGAACAGTAATAGGAACAGTGCCCATGAACAGCGGGGGAATCGGTTCCCTGTATGGGGGAATCGGTACCCATAAGCAATCTAGAATTTTTTCTTAAAATGTGGTTACTGTTCATTGCTACATTAACTGCTACAGTAACTTTCAAAAATTACATATAAAACTCATAAAAAGTAACCTTTCATCACTATCAAGTTACCAATTGGTTTCCAAATTAATTCAACAAAACAAATTTAACATTATCAAATTACATGCCACTATCTACATCAAATTCCATCATAGGATGTCTTACTGATGTTGAAATATACTTCTCGATGCTTGATGTCGTTCTGAACTCTTTATTCTTATTCTTATTCTTTTCTTTTTACCTACGCGTGAAAATCATCACACGCTAAGTATAAACTTAGTGAGACAATTAAAACAATAAACATTACAATACAATTCATGCATGAATTTCATTGTAAAAAACAAATGCCATAAGATCATGTTACATACATGTCAAATATTTTACCATGATCAAAATAATATAAAATTTCTTACCATTTATCCCATAAGCTCATAAGCTTATTTTACCAATATACTTACCATTTATCCATAAGCTCGTAAGCTTATTTTACCAATACACTTGCCATTATTCCATAACCATATACCATAGACAATAGCCCAATATACAAACCCTGAGGACCCTAGGTACACAAGTCAAATATAATCACCGTAGTGCTAATTCGTATGACACATAAGGTCGTGTCCACCATCTGTACTAGGTATCCTTAAGTACAGCCCCGTATGGCACATAAGGTCGTACCCACCATATACACTAGGTATCCTTTAGTGTATCCCGTATGCAGCCTGTTACTGGACTCTATGGCATGCCAACTATACTCTGTCCCTCAATAACTGACTTGGGCATACAATCTATTTTATTTGATACATCCATGGCAAAGTATATTATCAATATTTAACATTGGGCAGTTCATACCCGAAATAACATTCATGGTAAAATATCACATTTTCCAAAATCAATGCATTATAATTTCATACTCTGAAATATCAATGTCATGTCAATTTATAAAAATATGGTATATTATCATTCTGATAAAACAAGGTCGACTTATCGCAAGTCTTCCTGATGATGTATAAAACATCCATGTATAATTTCATGCATGTATTGCACTCACCTTGACACTTTATAATTTCCAAAATATGTGCCTCACTATTGTCCATAATAAACTTTTTTTACACTTAACTTGCTTCACTTGCAAATCAATCATAATCTGTATAAATCACAAATTTCATAACAATACATATGTTACTATTGTACTAACATAAACATATCCCAAAGTAACTCCATAATTTACTTAAACTCATTTTCATCCAAAATACTCAATACTTATTAATTCCTATTATCATTGGAACCAACTTTTCCAATTTACCCAAAATGGTCCTTCACCATTTTACCACTTAAATTCTTAATACCAATAATTCCAGCATAGTACATCAATTATATAACACTTACACAACAACCCATCAATTTTTCAGAATTCAGACAACTCACACTACCTTTAAAGAATCAGTATTATGTTTTCATATACACACTATAATTTAATTTCATTTATTCCGTTGAAAACTAGACTTGAATATGAATCTATCCATATAAATAACGCCTTCTAATTCATTTTGTACAATTTATGGTGAATTTTCAAAGTTGACCAACAAAATCTGTTTTGTAGAATCTGCTGTCCGAATTTTCTGACCTTTCCTTGGTTAAAAATTCATATATTTTTTTATACACCTTGAAATTGATCCCCGTTTGTTTTAAACAAAACTAGATCGATATATGAACACAAATATATAAAAATAACCTTGAAATTATTTTTATATAATTTCTGGTGAATTTTCGAACCTACTGCCAGATTCAAAATCCAAACTGTTTTCTTTAACTTCATTCTTAGGTTCTTCATCAATTCTTACAACCAATTCTTTAAAATCACTTAACTTTTCAAAACCCATAAAACACAAGAATCAAAATCTCATTCATCAACTCAAGATGAACTTGAACGTGAAACCTTAGTAATATTCATGTCAAAATGTAGAGAATTGATCGTAGAATATTTTTCCTAATCACACTGAAGTCTAATTCTCAATAAGATTGCTTTAAAATTCAAAACAAGAATACCTACCTTGCAAGCTTGGGGGTGTCGGTCTTGGATGAAGAAGAAGCTGAAATTGCTCTTCCATGATTGATATTTTATGATATAATAGATCTAACACATGGCAATATATATTATAATGGCATTTTTTATTCAATCCAATAGGAATTTCCATTTTTGCCATTAATGAATCTCCATAATCACCATAAAACCAAGCCATCTGATCCTTATCATATTACAAAGTCAAATATAAATTAATTTGACTTTGACCTATGAAAATGCCATTAAATTTTCAAAACTTGCATTTTAGTCACTAAATTCCACTATTTCAGTTAAATATGAAAAATTGCACATTACCAAACCAAATTTCTTTGATCCAAAATATTAAAATAATATTTCCAACCATTTTATAACATCATTCAAATTTTTGTAAAATTTCAATTCGATCTAAAATACCAATTTCCTTACCGGCTTTAACTCTTTCTAGTTTTTTTTTACTAAAATTCTAAATCCAAAAATATGATTTCTATAAAACTCCACTCTCAAGAGTAAACCATCTATTTATAGAATAAAATTCTTTTTAGGAAAGTATCACTTTATTCCCTAAACCTTTTCCCAAATTTCTACTTTAACCATCAAACTTTCCAAATTTTTATTTTGGTCATTGTCTAAATTTTTGGGGTATTACAATCACTGTATCAATCAGGAATATCATAATGGCCAACATCATGAATTTCCTTAATGCATAAAATGTGTCGCGTAGAATTTGCACATATAGTGCCTCGTAGAATGTACACGAATATACCATATAAGATTGGTCAATAATCATTCCACCTCTTGGCATGCCAACTGTACCACTAACTCTTAATGCACATACAATGGGCTTTATATTTAAATCCATATACCATTCACATATCAAAGTTTTCATAGATACAAATATATCAAAATATGATATAAAAATGCACTGGGCAGTTCATACCCGAGATCATTTAAATCCCTTTCAATAAAATATTAAGAAAATATCATAATATAAATCAAATTATTTCATTGTCAAACTTTCAAGGTTGGATCATCACAAGCCAAATCATTCAAACACCATTTAAAAAGGTAATATAACAATATATCAAATATGATTCAAAACTCTTTTCTTTCAAAACATTTGAGGTTGACTCATCACAAGTCATCCTCATATCATATTTATAAAAGTATAGTAAGAATGCACTCACTTGGTAATGTCTCACTAGTAAATCTTACTTAGCAATTCAAGCTTCACTCTTAAATTTTTTCTTTAGCTTTAAGTTTGCTTTTATCTCAATTTTGATCATGATCTACATGTACATCACACCACGTATATTTTCAAATGCATGTTATTATCTTACTAACATGAACATAGGCGCACATTAGCATAAATTCTTTTAAAAATTCTTTCAATACTTGGTCGATAATAAATCCATTTCATATAATCCATATCGACCTTAACACTTCAAAATAAAACTTCAATCCTCATAATACTCATATTAACCAATAGCTTTCATAATCATTTCAAAATCCACAATCTAACCATTAAAATGAATTCTTTTAGAATTCATCCCAACATATCCTATTTATTCAAAATGGTCCCTTTCCATTTAATTTCAAGTTCAAACGTCTAACATGGTCAAGCCATTGTCATTTTATTCAAGAAGAGTACATCAACTTTAATCAATTTCCACTTTATTTCTATAATTTTCATATTCTGACAATTTGCACTACCCTTAAAGAATCATTATTCTATATTAATCTACACAATGCAATTTGATTCCATTTGAAACTAGATTTGAATATGAATCTAACCATTTGAAGAACTCCTTCTAATTTGACTTGTACAATTTATAATGAATTTTCTAATCCAATTTCCAGAATTTGTTTTGAGCATAATCTGCTGCCTTGTTTTCCGACCTATCATCAATAAAAAATCATATATTTTAGCATACATTTCTAGATCAATCCCCATTTGCTTTAAACGAAACTAGATCGACATACAAACACAATGTTATATAATCACCTCGTAATCATTTTTATAGAATTTCTGGTGGTTTTTCAAACTTATTGCCAGATTCAAAAATCTAAACAATTTTCATTATTTTGTATCCTTAATTTCTTCACCAATTCTTACAACTTGTATTTTGGTCCTTAAATTTTAACAAGCTTTCAAATTGGTCCAAATAACATTCTAAAGCATGTAGAATCATTCATTTAGCATATGTAGCCTTTGGGAAATTTTCCCATAATTTTCACTAATTTCTTCACTAAGGTCAAAAGATATAGGGTATTTTTAGCATGATTTTCACTTTGATTCAAACATGAATTCAAGCTCCTAACATCAATTCCATGTAATTCCAACCAATTCCATATCAATTTTTAATTCAAACTACAAATATCAACATAAACCATAACATGGCCGATTTTAACATAAGCATTTACGAGTGGTTTCAATCATCATACAACAATGGAAATGATACTCCAACTTCAACTACATCATAATCCA